GCAAAGATCATGGGAGATAACAGACACCCTTGTCTTGTGCCATTCGATATCTGAAATGGGTCAGAGAGTATACCGGATGACCATACTCTGGCACTGGGGCATGTGTATAAAGCCATAATTGCTTTCCCAAAGGCTCCTGATATTCCAAATTTTCCAGAACCAATTGCAAGTATGGCCAATAGATCCTGTCAATTGCCTTCTCTGCATCTAAGGAGATAAGCAGAGAGGGTGTTTGTGTATGGTTTGCCCATTGAGCTAGATTTATAAATCTGTGTGTGCCATCAGGTGCTTGCCACCCATTGATAAAACCAACTTGATCTGGATTAATTAATTTTGGCATTAGTGGTTGAAGTCAGGTGGCTAGCAATTTGGCATAGATCTTTGTGTCAGTATTTAGAATCGACATAGGTCTAAAATTAGCTGGTGATGTGGGAGGTTTACCAGGTTTTAGTAATGTGATAATGAGAGCTTCTAGTGTTTCTTTTGGAATAGCTTATGTTGTAAATTTATTATTAAATCTATATAGATATTGGGTGAAGGTTGGAGTGAATGTTTTATAGTACTCATTGGTATAACCGTCCGGTCCCGGTGATTTATGAGAAGGTAGACTATGAATTACTTTATTAATTTCAGAGGTGGTGAAGGGTTGTGATAGTGAATCCAGTTGTTCTGTTGGGATCCTAGGGAGTTGTAATGATTCCAGAAACATATGGATTTGAGTATTTGTAGGGGGATACATTCTTGGGAATTTTTTATGTTATATAATGTTGTTGGAATAAATAATATCTACTAAATGCATTGGCTATGTCTAGCAGATTTATAAGTTTCCCCTTAGATGGGTCAGTTAGGTATGCAATTTTAGATTTGGATTGATATCACTTAAATTGTTTTGCTAAGTATGGTCCTGCTCAGGGGTGGACTGACAACTCATGGGGCCCCCGGGCAATAGGGGATCATGGGGCCCGTGTCCTTGCCCAAACTAAAAAAAGCCTATGAAAAAGGTACCAGGGGCATCTCATGGGGCCCCCTACTGACCCCAGGCCCTCGGGCAGTGCCCGAGTTTCCAAATGGTCAGTCCGCCCCTGGTCCTGCTCTGTTTGCCTGCATATATGACATAAATTTCAGTTTTTTATCATAAAAATCATATTGCTCCATATGTAGAAGCCTCAGTTTCTCTCGTAGAGAGCGTAGTTGCGATAACGTTGTTTGTGCTGGGTTTTGTTTGTGATGTAATTCCATGAGTTTAATTTGCGATAATATATCTGTGATTCTTCTGGCTTTCCTTTTTTTTTTCATACGCACCTAATTTGATGAGTGTTCTTCTTGTGTATGCTTTGTGTGCATTCCATAAGACAAAATCATCCGCCTCTTTATTATCATTGATTTGGAAGTAGGACAGTAGTTTCTTGTCTATTTGGGATTTATAATCTGGATTTGTAAGTAGGGCTGAATTTAGTCTCCATACAGAAAGGTTATTAGAGCATGGTGTTGCGAAGATTTCTGAGGTAAGTGGGGCATGGTCTGACCAAGTGATGGAGCCAATTTGAATTCTGGATACTTATTGCAGAGATCTTTTATCTGTTAATAGTAAATCAATCCGTGAATATGAGTTTAGGGAATGAGAGAAGTATGTATAATCTATTTCTCTGCCATGGAGACATCTCCATGCATTGTATAAATCTTCCAATTCAAGGAAGGAAGATAGAGTTTGGAATTGTCTGCATAATTTATTCGTGGAGTCCAGTTGTGTATCAATTATCTCATTAAAATCTCCACAAATGACTAAAGCACCTTGTCTGTGTAGTTTAATTTTTGTTCGATAGGTTTTTAAAAAAGGCTTTATGCCCTTTATTTGGAGCGTATACATTTACTAAAGGTTGTCAACTAAGATAATATATCTACCTTGTGGGTCTGAAAAAATGGATTGAGTTTGTACAGCTACTGTGTCTTTTATTGCAATCATTACTCATTTGTGTTTTTTGTTGGCGTTTGCGAAAAAATATTGTGTGTGAACTTCCGGAGTTTGCATGTAGATGGTTTGTCTTTATTAAAGTGTGTTTCCTGTACACACAGGATATCACATCTAGTGTTTAATGTTAAAGGTCTCAATAGCCCCTACAAAGATGGAGAGAATCCTTAAAGGAAGTTATGATAACCATTTTGGGTTTTATATATTTGCTTTGAGATGGCTAAGGATGTATCTATGTATTGTACGTACCAAGTACAGCACTGATTATCCCCCCCCCCCCCCCCACGTCCGAGAGGGCATCTGATTTCTGAGATGTATCCATCAATATAGGGGTTTAATTGCATATCAAGAGAAAGAGAATGTAATAAGCATAGTAGTAACATGAAAAAGTAACAAGTAAAAGGCATGAACAAGAAAGCAAAAACTTGTATGAGTGTGCATAGCAGACTCATTATTCGCTGGAGTGTGTATAATACCTGAGATGTAGGGGCCATCTCTTCCCTGCTACAGAAGGAGTTAGACGGTACAAAATGAAAAAAAAAAAATAACGAACAAAGGAACCAGTGTTCAAGCAGATGGGATTGTATCCCATTCTGAGGAAATTTTGGTATGTCTTTTTTTACGTGTATGTTGCGTTTCTGCTGGTACAGAGATGTTCCATGATGCCAGGATTTTTAGATCATCGTTGGGGGTCAGGATTGGTATTAATTTTCCTTGATATTTGGCTAAGATTTTTGTGGGGTATCCCCATTGGTATCTTATTTTATGGTTTAGCAAGGCTGCTGTGATGCGTTTAAATTCTTTGCGTTTTTGTGCAGTATAGGCTGATATATCTGAAAATATCGCACATTTTTCATATGGAGCTGGAAGGGTTTCAATTTTCCTCATAGCTATCATGAGCGCTTCCTTGGCATGGAAAAAATGTATTCTGGCGATAACATTTCTGGGGACGGTATCTGGCAGGTGTTTAGATTTCAGCAATCTATGGGCTCTATCAATAATGAGCTCAGATTGTGACATACTGTAGTTGGTAGAAGTGTATTCAGTAGTCTCCCTAAGTATATGGATAACTCAGGTGGGGTGACTGATTCAGAGATCCCCCTAAATTTTACATTATTTCTCCTTGCACAGTCCTCCATATCAGCCATTTGTTCTTTATTTTTTATGATTTCTTGTGATTTTGTCTCATATGCATCTATTAAGGAATTGCGTGCTACTACACATTCTTGAATTTTCCTTTCTGTTGCATCCGTACACTCTGCAAGATGGGTAACTTTAGTTTGAATAAAGTGTACGGTTTTTTGAAGATCAGTTTGTATATCTTTATGAAGGGATAATAGCATCTGCTTCATTGTGAAAGCTGTGATAGGGGTGTCTGAAGGTGGCCGCCATTAACTGTATTGGTTCAGTCAGTTCTGTTATCTCAGCAGAAATGTGTGTTGCTTTTTTTTTTACTTACTGGAGCCTTTGTACATGGTGCAAGTAGAGGTGGTGAAGTCGGTCTTTTATTCATGTCTTTCACTGGGGATATAGGGTCAGCAACGTCTGTGTCAGAGGCTGATGGGGATAGTGATGTGTCCTCCTGCTGCAGCTCAGTCGGCTCCTGTGCTTCGGGGTAGGTGTCATCTTAGCTGTCTGCTGTGTGGGGCTGAGAGAAAAACTTTGCATTTTCTCGGTCCCTTGAGGATTTTTTTCCCTTTCGTCATCACGTGAGAGGAGCGGTACAGAACAGGGATCAGTGGCAGTATGTGACACGGCTGTCACTGATTCCGGGTGTCGCTGTGGGTTGCTGGATTAGCAGGGTGGGAGAGGAGCTCCTGTCTCAAGCGGCCATCTTCCCGCGCAGCTGGACACGCCCCCCTGCCCCCTTTGTTTTAACCTCCGGTGATAGCCTTAAATGTTTTTAGGTTTTTGGTCTTCAATGTTTATTAGGTCAAGTTACCTTTTCTTGGAAATACTTTCTTTGATTGTTACATAAGGTAATCACTTCCTTTCCCATTGAACTGCCTTGCCTCTTTTAAATAATTGGCATATGTCTAGTAAACAATTACTTTTTGGCCCACAAAATGGCGCACATTCGGCCTTTGCTGCCCTTTAATTTGTTTGGATAACTGGTCCTGGAATGTTCCTCAATATGAGTTTTGTTGTTGTCTATTGAGCATCAGGGTTGAATGTCATAATCAACATTAAGACGTGGTTTGGTTGCCAATGTCCCATTTGTGAAATGCAGTTCAAACGAGACATGGTTGTAGCTATTTTGATACATAGGGCAATGATGTAGCATGGCGTCCATGTCCAAGAAAAAGTCAATTGTGACAAAATGCATAGGGCGGGCTACGTGCTGACGTCATCATGTTCTCAGAAGTGACTATCAATTTTCTGTGTTTTCCAGCCGTATAAGTTCTTCTTATTGATCAATTTTTAAAATTTTCTTGTAAGTGCAATTTTTAGCTTAACTTCCCATCCGCCCTATAGCAGAATTACTGCTACAGGGTGGCACGAGTGCACAAAATCACATATTTATATGTGACTTTGCATTTCTGGGTAGGTGGCGTGTGCGCCCTACCCGTGCTGCTATTCGTGGCCGTGACTGTCAATCACTGGGTCCCAACCAGCGCTCGGTGATTTCTGACGATATCCAACGGCGAGAGAACTGTTTTGTTTACGAACAGTTGCCCTCCCTATCAGCTCGGGCATGCTGCTTTGGATGGCTGTGCACAGCACAGCCATCCAAAGCAGTGTGCTTACAGTGAAGCACACTGACAGGGTCCCCTATATGACCATGTCCCCTATATAACTGGACATGTTTAACCACCTCCCCCCCGCCATATAGTAATATGACGGATGCAAGGTGGTTCTCTCGTTCTGGGAGGACGTCATATGACGTCCTCCCATTCTCACCGTGCATGCACGGCTCAGGGAGCGCGCAGCGATTGGCGCTGCGCTGGGTCCCTCAGACACAGCGGATCACTGATCACAGAAAGAGCCAAAGATGCCGGCTCGGTCGTGATCAGCTGTGTCCAATCACAGCTGATCACATGTAAACAGGGAAATGCCGGCTATCGGCATTTCTCTCCTCTCGAGCTGTCACGCTGACAGCTCGAGAGGAGAGGAGAGCCGGTAATCTGCTTTCCGCGGAGGGGACATGTACACTGATCATCAGGGCACTGATGATCAGTGTACCCTGATGATCAGTGTAACCCCAGCAGTGCCACCTGTCAGTGTCCATCAGTGCCTTGTGTCAGTGGTCATCAGTGCCACGTGCCAGTGCCACATCAATGCCACATATCAGTGCCTACCAGTGCACATCAATGCCACATATCAGTGCCCATCTGAGCTGCCTTTCAGTGTCACCCATCAGTGCCAGTCAGTGCCACCTATCAATGCCAATCAGTGCCACCTATCAGTGCCAGTCAGTGCCGCCTATCAGTGCCAGTCAGTGCCACCTATCAGTGTGCATCAGTGCCGCCTATGAGTGCCAGTCAGTGCCGCCTAACAGTGCCAGTCAGTGCCGCCTAACAGTGCCGCCTATCAGTGCCATGTATCAGTGCTGGCTTTCAGTGCCCATCAGTGATGCCTGTCAATGCCCATCAGTGCCACCTACCAGTGCCTCCTCATCATTGCCGCCTATCAGTGTCCATCAGTGCAGCCTATCAGTGCCCATCACCGCAGCCTCCTTAGCGCACATCAGTGAAGGAGAAAAATCACTTATTTACTAAATTTTATATCAAAAACTAAGAAAAAACGTTTTTGTTTTCAAAATTTTCAGTGGTTTTTGGTTTGTTTAAGAAAAAATAAAATACCCAGAGTTGATTAAATGCCACCAAAATAAAGCTCTGTCACAAAAAAAATGATAAAAATTTCATATGGGTACAGTGTTGCATGACCGTGCAATTGTCAAAGTGCGACAGCGCTGAAAGCTGCAAATTGGCCTGGCAGGAAGGGGGTATAAGTGCCCTGTAGGCTTGTGGTTAATAGCAAAAAGTTAAAAATATTGGTTTTTTTCTCAATATGTTCGGTCTATATTGTTTTTTATAGTGCAAAAAATAAAAAACGTATAGGTGATCAGATACCACTGAAAGAAAGCTCAATTTGTGGGAAAAAAGGACCTAAATTTAATTTGGGTGCAGTGTTGCATGACCGTGCAATTGTCAGTTAAAGTAACGCAGTGATGTAGTGCAAAAAATGGCCTGGTCAGGAATGGGGGTAAATCCTCAGGAGGGAAAGTGGTTAATAAATATTATTTGGAGGATTTTACACTATGTGGGATGTCTGCTTCCATATTCTTTCCTGAGTGCCGCATGGATGTGACAGAAGGAGGATTTCTATGTGGATCCTTGGTGCCACTGAAGAGTGTCAGTGGGAGTGATGTGGTTCTGATGTACTCTTTATTCTACAAGCTCTGTATGACTTCTACTTAGTTTGAGGGTCATGTACTGTTGATAAGCCTTCATTTGTATCCTTGAGGTGATGATTTTGGAACATGGATTCTAATGTGCTAAGGTGGTGGAATATTGACCAACTCATCTCTGTCTGTAATTTATATTTCAGCACATAACAAGTGGACTTCATCTTTTCTCAAGTGGATATCACAGCCTATTTGGACACTTTGATGTATATTGAATTAGTATTTTTTATTTTATGATGTTTCATTATAGTACATGTATTTGGGGAAGTTTATATACTTTTTTTGGTTTCTATTAGCGCAGTTCAATATTGGATACAAATCTGATCAATATTCCAATTATACTCAAGTAATATTTGTACTATTTTGTGCAGTTAGCCTTCCCTCCTGTAGGTGGCCTCATGCTATTATTGCATGGGAAGGGGAGATTTTTAAGGGAATAGGTCCCTAAGATTTAGTACAGTGCCTTGAGGGAGGAAGGTAGTCTAATTGGACACTGAACTTGAGAGACTTTGGCGGCCATCTTGAGTGAGAGAACCTTTTAAATAAGGGACCACACTTCTGGCAAGTGTGTAGCATTGAGAGGAACCTGCGTGCGAGGGACAGAGCTTAGCACAGGATCAGGTTTCAGATGAGGAGGGAAAGCTCAGGGAAGGCTCCTTCTTCACTTCAAACACTCTGGTTGTGGTGGCAAGGAGATGCAGAAACATCCTCTGCCTATTCAGAGAAGGGATACTACCACTGGTAATGGAAGCCTTCCTCCAGTAACATATACTGTAAACACTGATATTGCATATGATCTGGATTGCCTATATCGGTACTGGAGAACAGTTTATCTGTTGCTGCAACCAGACTGTACAAGATTTATATAAAACACATCAGTACAATATAAACTGTGTGTAATTCCTCCCAATACAGGATACTTAACTCAGGCGTGCCTACAAGTGCTTTACTCTATTTGTATCTATGTCAATGATATATCATGCATGCCATATGTATTTATATATTTGTATAGTATGTAAGTAATGCAGCAATATACACACATAAGGCATCCTGTTACAGGGTGGGAAACTAACAGTTGTATAACATACCATAGGACAGGTAGACAGGTATTACTGATAGGATCACCATGTAAAAAAGGCTGAAAAATGCCAAAAATGAATGCAGCCATCATATCCTGTTAACTGCATTATATTAAAACAAATGAAAGTGTCGCGCTGCTAGCATAAATCAATACATATAAATATACGAACAAAAATGTGACTGATAGTCCCAAAAGATGATAAAACATAAAAATAAATGCAATTCTTCAAAAAAATCCAAATAAGTGAAACATCTTGCTGCTGGTGATTGCACCCAAAATCCCAGTGCTGTAAATCTTCAATACATGTGAATCACCACAGTGAGCATGGACTTCCAGGTGGACTCTCACCTTCTCGCATGGACCTGTATGTGGACACAGGTCAAACAAAGCATCTCCCCTATTAGTGGGGAATAACACATAACTTGCTCCTCTGTGCACTCTTCCCCTTACTGACCTTCACAAATGGCACCCGATTTCAGTACAGCCAACCACAAAGTAGACCATAGTGCAGTAGGCTTCTTTAAAAGGCATATATTTATTAAAACATATGAACTCACAATTTAATACTGTATTATATATATTTTATTATATACTTAAATATATAATATATATACTTATATACTTATATTATATATTATATTTTCTTTTGCCTTTATTATAACTGCAATGTATTGCATTTGTTCTTGGGTTTTGATATGCTTTAAAAATATGTATTTTTTTCTTTGTGCCCAATACACTACAATATATGTGAACAGAATATAAAGTTGATGCAGCGCTAAAAAACTAAATGTAATATATAACCAGATAGTAAATGAGAATAATAACATGACCCAGGACCACCTAGAGATACACAGAGAAACAATAGCCCTTAATAGACTAGTAACAGTGGTTAAGTGGTTAAGTGCAGGATAAAGTGTCCATAGTTCATACAGAGGTGTAAGTGAATCACAGCACACTTCAAGGAACGTGACCCCGGGCAGTCTTGCTGCAGTGGCCTCTCACCTCCACTCCACGACCCTACAGGGCCATAAAGCGTAATGTAGATCACCACGGAATCCTCCAATTCAGGGACTCTTTAGATGAGTGAATAACCAGGGACAGAATTCCTCCAGGCCAGTGGATGAATAGAAGGCACTCTCCTCCGATATCACAGCCCGCTCATATGCCCATAAATGAGGAGATAAACACAATCCTCATAGTGTATTACCGCGATTGGATATCATCTTCTACATTTCCACTCTATATACGTTCTTTCCTCCGGAAAGAGTCCCTGAATTGGAGGATTCCGTGGTGATCTACATTACGCTTTATGGCCCTGTAGGGTCGTGGAGTGGAGGTGAGAGGCCACTGCAGCAAGACTGCCCGGGGTCACGTTCCTTGAAGTGTGCTGTGATTCACTTACACCTCTGTATGAACTATGGACACTTTATCCTGCACTTAACCACTTAACCACTGTTACTAGTCTATTAAGGGCTATTGTTTTCTCTGTGTATCTCTAGGTGGTCCTGGGTCATGTTATTATTCTCATTTACTATCTGGTTATATATTACATTTAGTTTTTTAGCGCTGCATCAACTTTATATTCTATTCATATTGCCCTTATTTGGTGTGGGACAGATGCTGGCTGCTTTTTAGTTTCTTTATTCACCATTTGCCATAAGAGCGCAGGAGGATTTTTATGTTATTTAATATATGTGAACAGGAATGGCTGTTTAAAAAGCAAACTTTGCTACAAGAGTGTTCGCAACTATAGCCAATGGTTGGAAATTTTAATTACAGTACAGTACATGTAGTTAAAACCCTTCTAGTACATCATTTGAACTTGATGAGAAAGTTTTTTAGCCTAAATATTGGTGATATACTGTAGTTTTTTTGCAAATGAAATTCCGACAATTACCAATTTTGTAAAGCCTTCAACATTTTGGCACTTAAATACTTGTGGGTAAGCAGATTTAAAGCACAAATCCACTCTCACCTGCTAAATCTTCTTTGGATGTCGGTTGTCCTCGAATTTCTGCTATTACAGCTCTTTTTTAATTGTTATGTTTTTATGCATCCCCCAGTGCTGCAGTAGTTGTTCATTCTGTGGCAAACCGTTGTGTGGAATGACATCCAGTGTCATTCAGCTCCCTCTCAGTGTCTCGAACACAACCTCTGTGGGAATTGTTATCACCCCTATATCAGACCATGCAACTCCCAAGAGCCCAGTTCCAGAAAGATAGTTGAGGGCACTTGGGGTTGTAGTCTAATGAGGATTCAATGTGTGTTACTTCCAATATAGGTGAACTCTATTAGTCTGCAACTTACAACATTGACTCAACTCTTGTGAATTTATGCTGATTCCTTCCAACAGGTGGCTACAATATAGGGCAGTGGCTAAGTGGTTAGCACTTCTGCCTGGCAGTACTAGGGTTGCCGGTTCAAATCCCAACCACGGCACCACCTGCCTGGAGTTTGCATGTTCTCCCTGCACCTGCGTGGGTTTCCTCTGGGTACTCCGGTGTCCTCCTACACTCCAAAGACATGCTGGTAGGTTAATTGGCTCCTGTCTAAATTGGCCCTAGTATGTGTATGTATGAATGTGAGTTAGGGACCTTAGATTCTACACCCCTTGAGGGTTAGGGACCGATGTGAATGTACAATATATATGTAAAAGCGCTGCGTAAATTGATGGTGCTATATAGGTACCTGAAATAAATACATTTTTACAGAGCCCGCGATGATGAAGCAGGGTCTAAAAAGTGTATACATAAAAAATAGAACAGGGTATTTAAAAATAAAAATATGTTGCTTCTAGGACAGCATTTCTCAACCAAGGTTCCATGGAACTCTATGATACCTCCAGAGGTTACTAGGTGTTTTCTGAGCAATGAGAAATGTGTGATTTCCAGGTAAGTTACCACTGAAAGCATTTATCTTTTTCGCTATCTGTAAG